CCCCAAAACCCCAAAACCCCATCTGTTCTTCATATATTGAAAACTTTAATATAGTAAAATAGTTGAAAAATTTATAGAAATACTATAATTAACCATAAAATGCAAAATTAATTCGCAGCTTCTTCAGTTTAAAATAGAAAAGGTGGAGGGGGTTTATCTTCGCACACTCGTTTTCAATCACTATAGAACTATCCTAATCAAAATTAAAACCCATATGAACAGGCAGTAAGAGGATCATTCGTTTCAATTAATTCTAATGGGTCTAATCAACAGTAGCAAGTAAATACAAAAGGACTAGCAAAATCCCATATGATGAGAAAGATGAAAGAGATGAGGGATCTTGAAAAGTGAGTAGTGCTGTGCCAAATAGAAAGTGTGAGGAACACTTTCAAAAAAGATTAAAGCAACGAAGCTAAACTGACCTTGCTAGAAAATACCCTTAGCATAGTAGAGTAAAACAGAGCCACTCTTGGGAAAGTAAAAATAATGAGTTCTTTGGAGAAAAATAGAATAGCCTTAAATCTCATCTCATCTTTAAAGCATTAAGAAGCTAACTATAATGAAAACAAGCAAAAAAATATCGCTAAAAATATCAAGTATCAGCAGGATGAATTCAATCGCTAATTTTACAAGAAGTTCGGTCAAAACGAGGACTACGAATCTAATACGTAAAATCTTAGATCTCTAAACGCACAGTCTAGCTACAATCCAACTGGTAATATCGGAGGGTCTAAATTACTTTAATCTTTATAAGATATGAAAAACAGAAATTCAATGCAAAAATCAATGCAAAATACCTCAGCAAATCATGCTAAATAGATGCTAGCTGAGAGTCTAGCTCTGTAGAGATTCTAAGATGATATGGAAAATGAATAGAAGCTTTAGCATAAAGATACCAAACATCTGAAAAGAAATGTTAGTGTAGAAATTCTAAAGTAAAAATAAATGAGCGTCGGGGATCCACTTACTCATTTTGGAATAATGACACTTAACAATAATATACCTTATAAGAAACCGATACTTAAATCTATGCCAGTCTTCGTAAACGCTAGAGGAGTGATATAAGACCTTGAGTAAAATCATGGGGGTCTTCATTTCCTTAAAAATAGTCCGAATAAAAATAAAGTGGAGGTTGGTTAAAAAGAAAAGCGAGTTAAGAACCTCAACATAACTAATTCCAACTTCATTAGAAAGAACTTGAGGCGAGTGCATTCTGCTAAGCCGAAAAAATTTAGAAGTTTGCTTCATAGTAGGAATCCCTCTTCACCAATAGCAAGCAGACCACTTTCACCTAAGTCAATATAGAATACTCTTTCTCATAGTAGATTTTCCAGAAACTTTGAAAATTCTGGAGGTCCACTCTTTTCTAATTTAGAATTAAAGTAGAGTATAAAAAGAACCATAGATTACTGATAGTCCAATTAATCAAAGAACTATTAAGTTTAAATTTCTAAAATTAATACCCCTCATTAATTCTATTCTTAAAAATAATTGACTTTTATATTTTAAAATTAGGCCATTCGGGGTTTTGGGGTTTTGGGG